TTGGTGCCGCACCCCCAGCCCCCCTCCCCTCGCTCTTCCCTCACCTCCCTTTTCTCCACAGTCAGGGCTCCAGTCGGCAGAGCGGCCCGGCCCAGCGCACCCGGCCTACGGGGCGGGCGTGGAGACAGTTGCCACACCTCAGTCTCGCCACAGCCCCCGGGGACAGGCCAGCGACAGGGTCCGGACGGGGAGCAGGTGCCAAAGGCCGAGCCGGGTTCTGCTCGAGCTCATGGGCCCTGAGCCCAGGCACTGGGCCCCCGGGTCCTCGCCCTTCCCCACCACCTGTGGCGGCCGCATCAGCGTCCAAGGGCACAAAAGACAGCTCCCTGGGGCGCAGGTCCCCCAGCGGAGCTCGCCAGGTAGACACAGGCACCGTCTGTCTCCTCTAGGGCCGCACCGCGGCCGGGCTCCCTTCCCCGAGTTCCAGTTTCTTCTCCATGACAATAATGACTGACACAGGACTTACTAGGTCACGTTCCACGTGCTGTACATAAGCTACAAGATAAATTCTATTGTAGCCATTTTACAGATGGGAATGTTAGGCGCTGGGCTGTTAAGTCAATGGTAGAACTGGGATTGGAACCCAAGACACACAGCTGCAGAGTGTATGCCCAGAACTCTCATTCCACATGGTCTCCACCGCACGAAGAGCCAATAACGACAACAGCGTCCGCCAGGCCTCGGCGGGCACGCGCACAATTCAGTGGAGGCAGATTCTAGATGATCACGACCCACCTGCCTGATGGACTGTCACTGTCCACTGGCCGGGGGGCCTTGGGGAAGCTCCTGACCTTCACCGAGCCTCGGTTTTCCTCCTCTGGAAAATGGGGATGGCAATCGTAAACCTGCTCCCACAGGGTTGTCATAAGAACTTAATAAGATGGTACCTACTAAGTGCTCGGCACAGGGCCTGGCACAGAGTAAATGCCCAAAGAGTTTCTGAAATCTGTTTTTAACTATTAATAAACTCTCAGTCAAACTCGATTTCTCCCTGGACGCCTTCACTGGTCAAAGAGAATTCTCAAAGCAAGTTCTTCCCTCTGTTGTTCCCTAGAGCTGTCTTAAATCACGAGTGAAAAGGAAGGCCGGGAGATGAATTTACAACTAGTAACAACCCCATCAGCTCGCTGTTTTTTCTTTCAAGCTTCTGTTCTGTTCTGACAACAAAATGATACCATCAGTTTCTACCAGGCGGTCCTGGGGGCCCCGGTAGGGACCGCTCGTGGGTGTGCCCTTGACCTCCGCTGTCCCCACATCTCATGTCCGTCGTCGGGGCTCTCGGTGCGCGGCTCTCACAGCTGTAGGCCCACGTGACGCATCTGAGAGACAGGAGAATCCTGTAGAGAGCTCACATTTAGAAACCGGGAAGAAGAGGGAGGGGCCAGAAGGAGGAGGACCAGGACAGGGAAGCAGATGGAAAAAATCGACACAGGGAGGGGTCTGAGCAACTCTATGTGCCGTTGCTGACGCTCACTCAGTCACTCGCGTGTCCTTTAACAGACTTTTACTGAGTGCCTCCCGTGTGGCCCGTAGTCCCAGGTGTGGGGGACGGAACAGTGAAAGATAGGTCTTTGACAGATAAACAGACCAGCTAACCACAGACACATAAAAATGAGCAGCAGATACAAGTCCTTGCCCTCATGGAGGTTACAGTCTACTGGGGACCGGGGTCGGGGGGGACAAGAAATGTTGAGGATGTTAGATGGCACCAGAGCTATGGGGAGAGAGCAGGAAAGGGGCACAGGCAGTGTGAGCTGTGGGGCCGGTGGAGGGGTTGTCACAGGTGGAGATGCTAACCAGGGGTGGCCTCCGTAAGAAAGGGACAGTTGAGCAGAGAGGCCCAAGGGAGGCGTGTAATAACAGAAGAGCATTCCAGGCAGAGAAAATGGCAAGCATGGAAGTCCTGACTTGCCTTAAGTTCTTGGAAAATAAGGAAGAAGCCAGTGTAACCGAAGCTGAGGGAGGGAGTGAGGGGCGAAGATAACAGGAGAGGTCCAAGAGGGGACAGTATCGAGGTGTCCTGTTCCTAAAGGAGCAGGAAGAATACCAGGTCGTCGTTGATGTTGCCGTGCAAAGAGGGCACCCTGGGTAGAAGTCATCCTTGGTGGCACATTCCGGAACATATACACCCCTCCAGGTAGGACATACGATATATTCCCGGTGGAAGAACTCAGAAGTTCCAGTCTAGTCCCCACGCTCCTGGAGGGGGACTCTGAAGGGGACGTTCTTCGTGGCTACTCTGTTCCCCTCCGCGGGGCTCACTCTGAGAGTTCACCAAACACTTAATAAGCGAAGTAGAATTTCCACGGGTGGTGAGTGAGCAGTTGCCTGGCATGAGAGACAGTCGCAGGGGGGCTGTATGTATATATATATATATATATATATATATATATATACACACACACACACACATATATTGTGTGTATATATATACACACACATATATTGTGTGTGTATATATATACAATATATACGTATATAATATATACAATATATACATATAGTGTGTGTGTGTGTATATATATGTGTGTATATATATATATATATATATATATACAATCACGTGGACAGGTATTCTCGCAGATCACAGACAGGTGCCAAGTATACTCGGGAGATGGAGACCAGAGCTACAAACCTGCCTCCGGGAAAGGAAACGAAGGCACTAGGACAGTTCGTAAAGTTCCTTTTGAGTCTGTGACTCAGGAGAGCCATGGCACTTGAGGCGTCTTGAGAAGCAAGTGCCGACGGTAAGGGACGGTGATTCACAAACATCGCCACAGCGTTGTGTCCAGTCTTACAGAGTAATGTCCTAAAGTACGGGCAGCCACGAAAAACATCGTGCAGGAAACACTTCTCGTGACATAGGGACATGCTCACGCCGTAATGATGTTGACAAAGCGGGATGCAAACATATATATTCGCATGAGCCTGACCGTGTGAAACAACATGACGGAAGGAAATGCATTGAGAGTGGTGGTTTCTACAACCCAAAGTTACAGATGAGTTTTGGTCATTCACATACTTTTCCACTTTTCTACAATCATCACGTGTGGCTGTCTTATAAACAGGAAAAAGTTCAGCTAAAAATGGCAGCAGTGACGCAGCAGCCTGCTGGTTCACCCTCTGAAGGAGGCAAGGCTCGTCACGAAAGGGAATTCAAAAGCTCTTGGTGGCGAGAACGAGATTATGCGGATTGTCAAAAGCCACGAAAGCCAGGGTGGGCTCTTAGGACAACAGAGAAGAGTGCCATGGGGTTTTCCAACGGAACGTCCAGAGGCATCCTCTGCGAAATGTTTAGACGAAGAAGCTGCGACCAGCCTCCAGCCTCTCGGTCCCTGAGGTCCTGAAGTCTGTCCGGATGTCTGAGGGGACACGGGGAGCAGCCAGCCCAGCGCCGTGCTGAGTGTGTCTGACACACGAAACACGGCCCCTCGCCTCAGGAAGACCGCTGGCTTGTCAGGACACGCACACAAGATGTACACGCGCGATAACTGAGGGGTACCACAGGGCTTGGCTTTCCTTTTTCTTTAATTTTCTTTCTTTCCTTCCTTCCATCTTTCATTCTTTCTCTCTCTCTCCCCCCTCTTCCTGTCTTCTTTCTTAACAAGAAGTTCCTTCTGTGTGTCAGGCACCGTTCAGGGGATAAGATGGACGGCCAAGTGGATAAAGGGGGCAGGGATCAGTAGGATTTGGAGGCAGGGGGCAGGGCAAGACCTCAGGAGTTTCAGGGAGACTGAGAGAGAGGGCAGATGGGGTTGGGGGCCGCCTGAGCACAGGAGCAGGCGCCCCCTACAGAGAATTAACTGCCAGTACAAGTTCAAAGTTGCCCAGTGGCGCTGAGCCCCAAGCTCCAGGCGGTGGAGCTGAACTCTGTGCCTATAAAGACCGGGGAGAAGAAGGGGAACCAGGGGCGACCACCTTCCCCGTATTTGCGCTCCTGGGCTTCCCAGGTCTGGTTTTATTTTGTTTCCCTCTCTACTGAAACCCTCCCAAAGGGCAGTTGAGAGAAAGGCAGGAAGTCAAAAACAAAGGCCGGTCGCCTGGGAGCCACAGCCAGAGTTGGCTGATACGATGTCCTCAGGCCGCCACGCCTTTTGAACCTGGCTCTGTCTTCAAGTCAAAAATGCTTAAAAATAGCGATTTTTTTGAACCCAAGTGTAACAAGCCTGAAATAGGGGCAAGAAGAGGGAACATCCACGTAAGGCCACCCGCACTCCCAACCAACGGAGGCAAGTCAAAGCTCATCTGCTACGGCACACGCGCACAAACTGGGGTTCCAGCCCTGGAAATTCATCCCGCACCCTGAAACACCTAAACCCACTAAAAACATGGATACAGGTTTTTACAAGTATTTGTGAAATACGAAAACCGTACAGAACACCTGCTGGGGATGTTCTCGCACCGCGGGCTGGGCCAGCTAGAACTTCGGCTATGCTACTCTCACAACGCATGGACCAAAGACACCTTTCCATACCTGCTAAGCCTTGCTGTTGCAAGGGGGGTAGCGGGAGGTCCCAGGGCCTCCGCGGGATGGCCCTTCTCTGCCACCTCGGCGCTTCCCTGCCGAGCTCCCCTAAAGGAGAAGCCAGGGGCAGAGGCCCTTGGTGGACGGTGGCGACAGGAGTTCAAAACCTCACTGCAGGCACAGGTGTATGTTTCTGTTCTGACGGGCACCGGCCTCCCCCCAAGGTGCTGTCCCGGCTCTCGGTCAAAGGAGTTGCTTGCTGGGGCGCCTGGGTGGCTCAGTCAGTTAAGCGGCCGACTTTGGCTCAGGTCACGATCCCGCGGTCCGTGGGTTCGAGCCCCACATCAGGCTCTGTGCTGACCGCTCAGAGCCTGGAGCCTGTTTCAGATTCTTTGTCTCCCTCTCTCTCTGCCCCTCCCCCATTCATGCTCTGTCTCTCTGTCTCAAAAATTAATAAACGTTAAAAAAAAATTAAAAAAAAAAAAAGGAGTTGCTTGCTGATAAATCTTTATTCTCATTGTCTGCACTGACTCAGGTCCTCTGAAGGGAGCCACCTGCTATAGAGTGAATCGCTGTGTCCTTCAAATTTCGTACGTTGAAACCTAACCCTCCAAGGTGATGACAGTAGGAGGTGAGGCCATTGGGAGGTGATGAGGTTGAGAGCAGAGCCCTCATGAATGAAATCAGTGCCTTTGTGAAAGAGGTCCCAGAAAAAAATAAAGATGCCCCAGACAGCTTCCTGTCCCTTCCACCATGTGAGGACACTGGGGAAGGATGTCCCTCGACGAACCAAGAAGGGGGCACACCAGACACCAAATCAGCCAGTCCCTTGATCTTGGACTTCTCAGCCCCCGCCCCCCGAGCTGGGGGAAATAAATGTCTGTGGTTTATAAGCTGCCCAGTCTGTGGTAGTTGGTGCAGCGCCCTCTCCCTCAGCGGGGCCCATCTCCTCTTCCCTCACACTTGTTCTCTTTCTCCCTCGGGGCACTTCCTGTTCTAGCAGAACAGAGATGGGATGTGGTGGGACGCACCTTCCTTCCAGCCAGCGGAGGGAACGAGGGAGTGGCTGCTCCCTTCAGAAGCCGCCCCTCAGGGCTGGACACGTTCCCTGAGCCTCTCCCCGGGGCCACCGCTAGCTGGCTGCAGGAAACCACCTGGCGCCCCAGGCTGGGTGCACGGACAGGATGGCCCTCCGTCCTTTGTCCCCAGAACCTTGTGTCTTGGAAGGCTAGCGGCACTTTGGCACGCAAATGGCTATTTTGTTCGGTAGTCGAAACTTTACAAATACAAAGGTATCGCAGGCAGACTACTGTGGTAGAAGAGCAATTTGGAGAAGTCCTTCTGATTAAAATCATAGTGAAAAGACTGTTCAAATACGATGAGGACGGTGTACGCTATTTTACGGGGACTACAAGTAAGTTTTCTGCGGATCAATTTGGCAATATGCAATAAGATCACTCAAAAGTATTTCTACCTTTGGCTCCACTTTAGATATCTAGCTGAAGGAAAAATCAGATTCCAACCAAGAATCATACAAACATCTTCCTTATCTGTCACTTATAATGGTAAAAATGGAAACAATCTGCCTAATGGCGTGACGGATAAATCTACGACACGAACTATCACACAGCCATTAAAAATGTTTTTGCAGACTATGTAACAGCTTTGAAAAATGTGCATAATATTCAGCGAGAAAATCATTGTGGTCAACAGTGTGACTATTTAAAAACACATCAGCGCATAGGAAAAAAATATTGGTAAGAAATTAACAGTGGTTCTACGTACGTGGTGGGATAAGAGGTTATTTTTTATGTATTTTTTTCTGTTACGTATTATTTTCCAAGATTTCTATGATTCCTGTTCTCGGGAAAAAAATCGGAGACACTTAAAAGGTAGCGAGTGCCACTGTGTGATTTCATGAGCAGGTGGCCTCTTGCCTTCACCAAGTAATGACTCCCAGAGCAGGGCAGGTAAGCTCCCAGAGAAGTCTAGAAGACCTCGTCCCC